GCATTCCTGTGGAGTGGCCTGCAGAGACATCTGGTGGCTGATTTATCGCTCCTGCAAGAAACCCTGCTTCATTCACTTCTAGCACTGGGCTGAGACTAATAGCTTTTCTCAGGTGAGGTCTACGAACGTAAATCCCACTTCCTGACAGTCCTTGTGCTGAAAGGTTCCTTCCAAAATAATCAAGACTGGGGCATTTAGGTGTTCAAAAACAGAGCAAGAAAACAAAAATAGGAGGTGTGGTCAAGGAACCTCAGGCATCCAACTGATTTTAGAACACGTCTGAGTTAGACCAGTTCTCCCCTTTTCAAGTCTGATTAAACCAAAAATTGCAGCCTTATCATGTGCCTGTACCTCTCCCCTCCTCTGCTCCCTGGCAGAAGTGCTCCCTCTGACCAGAGCTTTTGATGGGTCAGGTGCCCAGGACCATCCCGGGCCAACCGCTTCCAAGAGTCCCTCCCCCACCTCAGCCCCCAAGCCCAGTTTGAACTAATTAACTCAGCTTAATCTCTGCAGTCCCCACGATGCTGTCTCAATCTGCTTTTCTTTTCTAAATTAACCTCCAAATGTGTTCAACTCAGATTTCTTTCCAATAGATTTCACTGGAATTGAGTTTTGTAGAAATCCCTGCATCCGAAAAGATGGAAACTTGGCTGCAACAGTCATTCTGAGATTTTCTACCTCAGATTTTCTCCTTAGGGCGGTCTTCTCTCCTATCCAGTGACCCCCTCCCTCAACTCAAAAAGACCTATCTGAAAGTCAAGATCAAAAAAAAAATAAAACAGAAACAAAAAACTGAGAACCCCTCTGGAGCTGGTGGAAATATAAACTATTGTGCTTTATTTACATAAAGATGGCCCCTTTATCACGCTGGCTGCTGGGAACTGCTGAAGCAAGTACGTGGCGGTGATCAGAACTGACTGGCAGTGGCCTTCCGCCTATCTGCAGAAGAGAATTCATTTAAAAAACAGCAGTAACAACAAAAAGTAGTTTATGTGATGGTCAGATTTCCACGGGTCTCTGACAAAACCTCCAGAGAGGTTATTTTACAATGGCAAAGCCAGGGAAGGGTGAAATCATAAGAATGAAAGTAAGAGGTGGAGAAAGTCAAAACAAAGAACCCCAAAGCAGCCTGCAGAATTCTGATTTACTGAACCACCACAGCCATCAGTGGGATCGTGGCAAAATATCTCAACTCTCACGGGGTCATCTTCCAACGGCCCCTTCCTGGGTCCTCCTGAAAGGCCCAGAGAACTGAGAGAAATACTAGCTTAACCTGGGACCTCTTGCCAAAGTGATGAACAGCTCTGTGTGCCCGATAACTACCCGTAACAAAAGGAACCCTCTGTAACTTCACACAGTGTGCATGGCAATAGTTCAGAACCTTCCTTCTAGCTTCAAGCTGCAGGTATGTACATAGCCTATTCCCCCTTCCTTCTGCCTACAGCCGCAAAAATAGTTGTAGTTTCCATGTTAACGTCACACGCTCAAGATGCGAGTGCAGCGCTAGCAGTACCAAGAGACTTTATGCAAAAGTTCAAATTATCATCTTCAGCACCGCGGCCAAGCAGCCATCACCCTGCAGTATCGGGGGAGTGAGCCGTGGCCCAAGCAGCACTGTTCAAGAACTGAAGGAATTTCAGGGGGAGGAACATGGAATAACAGCAAATGGGCCATCCTCAACTTCGCTTGGTTTTATGAATTCTTATAAACATTTGAGCTGGCTCAAAATCAACCACTGGCAAGAATGACTCTCAACATTCCAAATCTAAAAGTGTTTCATTGCCTCTCTGCAAAAGCATTTTAGGAAATAGTCATTTATAACAAAAGGAACCCGCAGATTCATTCACGGCCGAGTGTAACTCACAGGAACTATTTAACGCACACTTTGCGACGCGCATATTGCAGAGGGCTACACCACAGCACGCTGTGGGCAAATTAACTCCTCAAAACACTCATCCAAATTATGTTTTTAAGATCCACATTCCATGCATTAACTCTTATGCTGACATATTTTATCTTTCTGATTGAATTAGAAAAGGCAAAATATAAGACATCTCATTTTCAGAAAGCCTACGGACTTTTGTCTCAAGGCCTCCAATTTGACTAAATAATTTAAATACCATATTCCTTCTCTAAGATGGAGATCTGACCTTAAGAAAACCACAAGCCCTAAATTAAGATAAATTCTCTTTAATTTGCCGAATACTAAGCCAAGCAAATACAACTAGTAATTTTAAACGCACGTGAATTGTTTTTTTAATGGTGGATAAATTTGAACAAGAAAGAAATCAAATAAATATCTAAATCTGGCTGAAATTGAACCTATATTTCAGTCAAATCCCTATTGTGAAAAGGGATTTTTTTAGAAGTTTACATAATTTTATCCATATAAATACATACATATATATGCTAACTTCCTAGATTACCATCTTTGGATATAAGAAGACAACAGCTCCATTCCTATTGCAAACAATTTTGATTCCACAGCCTTGAAATCCAAATTTATCGTGCATGAGATCTGTTAAGAATGTGATAGGAAAGTAAAAGAAAAGGGAAGAGATTTTTTTGAGGAGAAAAATGTGTGCGTATATATATGCGTATAAATATTTAATCCAACAATTTAATTAAACATATTTAAAGGAATGGATGTTAGTATTTAAAGGTGGTATTAAATTAATCTGATATATTCCAATCACATCGAACAGCTTTTTTTTATTGCATTTCCCATGCACTAACATTCATGTACCTTGGTTTCCAACTCAATTAAAATGCCAATATAATCCCCATTCATCATAAAAACAGCTCTTTATAACATGCAAAACAATTTGGCTCAGAGGTTGATGTCATAATGGGGGTAGAACGTATAAGCATTAACATCGTATTTTTCTAAGTGTAGTTTTATTGGAAAAATGATTTTCCACTTTGAAATTTACTGGGTCTAACAGACAGAGTTGTATTTATGGCTGTTAACAGAGTTATGAGTATGGCAGAGGCAACGTAATTAAGAGCACAGGCTTTGGTGTTGGACAGAAGTGGAAACAAACCCCAGCCCCACCATGGCTAGCTCTGCTCTTGGTGAAGGGCCCGGAGCTCTCAGGCTTCGTTTGCTCCCCTGAGATGGGAGAGGGTAACTACACCTCCCAAAGTTGGTGTGAATCTACCTATGATGAGGTAGGTGGGTACTGTAGCATAGTGTCAATCACACAGAAAGCGCTAAAAATGTTACCACTCT